TAACCTTGGGAAGTTAAAAAATCTGGTTAACAGTCTCTTAAATCAAGTTATTTTCTTCTCACTGCTTTGAACGTCTGGAACCTAAACTCAAAACTGACCTTTTAAGCCTGACCTGAAAGTTGAAACTCAAGAATAGTGAAATGCAAAATGGATAATCTGGGAATTAAATACTACTATAAAAGAATATTGGAAGATGGCTCAGTGCAATCATTTTATATCACGGTTTTAATAAATAATCAGGTGTTGAAAGTGGAACCAGATTATGTCACTATTATCTTTCCTTCAAACTGCGAGCAACAGACCAACAGGAATCAGGTGGAAATAGTACAGGGCAGAGGCATACGTTCTTATTATCAACAACCACATAGTATTTTATGCAACCATATCAACCTTGTACAAAAGCTTCGTATAGTATTTGGTCCAATTGGAAAAGCGCCATCAGATAACTAAGGAATCCTATGTGAAAAGTGGCGTCAAGTACGTTGACTCTGCATTCCTCACGCAACGCTATCATCAGATAGTCTTAAAAGGCTCGTGTTTGGCACGAGTGAGGTTCTCTGAGAAAAAAGTTGCGGGCATGCATAACAAAAGCGAGCTACATAGCGAGCTAAACAGATCCATACAATTAGTCCAAAGTTCTATTCATTTGATAGCATTAACAATTCCCATCCTATCAAAAGTACCAACCATCTGACAATGACGCCGAGCTACACCAGTCAACAATGCTAAATAACTCAGCTGGAATATTGCACGCTTTAACCCGACAGTGGTCGTTATGTCAGATGTTCTCTCACATTCTTATAGATATACAGGGTGTCCGCAAAGTTGGGGTTTCCTTTTCAGAAACACCTACCCTTGAAATAACAAAGGTAATGTGTAGTGAAACGAGGGCGGCCAAGTAAAAAAAATAAAGGAAAAAGTACTCACTCTCCAGTTGACGAGAAGGGCTAAGTACGTCTCTGCCCGAAATCATACCGCTCCAACAGAAAATGAAATCAGCTGATGCACTACCGAGCAGACGACCATGCCAGCCCAAACATTCACCGAAAATGTTTGTTGAAAATGTGCCCGACCGACAGCGTGCGGATTTTCTACTGATCAAACATGAGTGTTGCGAAAGTTATTCACCCCATTACGCGTGAATGTAGATTCGTCTGTCACCAATATGCACTTCAAAAAGTCCGGATGATTGTCATGTTGATGCAACAACCACTCACAAAATCGCACTCTTGCTGGAAAATCGTCAGGTTGAAGGGCTTGTACACGTTGGGCGTGAAACGGATACAGCCCCTCTTCACGCAGCGTTTGCCACACTTTAGTTTTTGATACTTGCACTTCTCTAGCCACGTCTCTAGTGCTTGTTGAGGGATTCTCGTCTACGCGATTACCTCTACAGGCGTGACCGTAACCGTCGGTTGAAGGTTGCATACTGACCTGACACACTGACCCCGACCCAGTTCTGTCGTTGAGCCAGTGACATTGTGCCACTCCGTTGCAGAGCCCTTTATCTCGGTTCCCTTAAGACGTTGGTGTATATGGTACTAAGAAAAATTGCTTATGTTTTCAAGATCTACACGTCGTGTAAAGGAAAACCCCAACTTTGCGGACACCCTGTATATATATATATATATATATATTAATAGATCTACACCAATCGGTTGACAACACCCTTTGATTGAGTACGTGTACGCTACGTGAGACTTTCTCTCATCGCGCGACCAATTGGGTTTGACATGAGCCGCGGTAAAAAAAATGTTAATTTGGCCCTTTTGCAGTTAGAACAAGAGCAGAGTGAAGGTGAAACCCTTTGGATGTCCTCTGAACATGAATGAAAACCTTTAGATTATCTTTTTTATAGATCTGCAAGATCCTGCGGCTCCATTTATCACTTCGTACGACAATAATTGTTGTGTCATAATTATTATGAAAATAGCAGGGATTAGAGCAACTAGAAGAAGACACAATTAGATTTTGTTACCTTTGTCCTCGTAAAAAAATAGAAAAGTGAAAAAAATGTGCAATACATGCCAGATGCCGATTTGCCCCGAACACACAAGTAAATATATTTTCTCTAGCTGCCTAGTAATTCGGACTGATTTTATTTAAATAAAACATAATTTAGTTTATTTCTTTGTTTATGCGATCTTTTGTTAATCATCTTTTCGATTATTAGCGTTTTTGTGTTTTATGTTTGTAGTTAATGAATAAAATGCTTGTTATATTCATGTATTAAATCATATCAACTCAAATATTTTTTTTAATAAAGAAATAGACTCAGTTTTGTACCCAACCAATCCCGGGTTAAGTTTAGTAACAAAAGAGAAATTCATACTTGCGATTCAAAGTTTTTCTAACCTCAAATTGCTCACTGGAAGAGCGTCGTCAGTACAGGGTGTCCGCAAAGTTGGGGTTTTCCTTTCCACGACGTATAGATCTTGAAAACATAAGCAATTTTTCTTTGTACCATATACACCAATGTCTTAAGGGAACCGAGATAAAGGGCTCTGCAACATCAAAAATATCTGAATACCGTCCTGTAGCCGCGACATCTCCGAGTGGTACAAAGTCACCGGCTCAACCCGACGACAGAACTGGGTCGGGGTCAGTGTGTCAGGTCAGTATGCAACCTTCAACCGACGGTTACGGTCACGCGTGTAGAGGTAAACCAACCCGTATAATCGATTGCGTTTCAAAAAACAACAAGCACTAGAGACGTGGCTAGAGAAGTGCAAGTATCAAAAACTAAAGTGTGGCAAACGCTGCGTGAAGAGGGGCTGTATCCGTTTGACGTCCAACGTGTACAAGCCCTTCAACCTGACGATTTTCCGGCAAGAGTGCGGTTTTGTGAGTGGTTGTTGCATCAACATGACAATAATCCGGACTTTTTGAAGTGCATATTGGTGACAGACGAATCTACGTTCACGCGTAATGGGGTGAATAACTTTCGCAACACTCATGTTTGGTCAGTAGAAGATCCGCACGCTGTCCGTCGGGCACATTTTCAACAAACATTTTCGGTGAATGTTTGGGCTGGCATGGTGAACGGTATGCTCATTGGACCATTCATTCTCCCACATCAATACCTAGACTTTTTACGCAACATTTTGCCTTCCTTGTTAGAAGATATGCCATTAAGTGTGAGATAATCAACGTGGTTTATGCACGATGGTGCACCGCCCCATTTTAGACGCGAAGTGCGTGAGCTTTTGAATGAATTATTTCCGAATAGGTGGATCGGACGTAATGGACCCGTAGCGTGGTCTGCACCACCGCCTGCGTCTACTCGGTAGCGCATCAGCTGATTTCATTTTCTGTTGGAGCGGTATGATTTCGGGCAGAGACGTAATTAGCCCTTCTCGTCAACTGGAGAGTGAATACTTTTTCCTTTATTTTTTTTTACTTGGTCGCCCTCGTTTCACTACACATTACCTTTGTTATTTCAAGGATAGTTGTTTCTGAAAAGGAAAACCCCAACTTTGCGGACACCCTGTATACGCACCGCTTACAGATTATCGATAGGAAAAGAAATAGGTTTTCTGTTCCCAGGTATGATGGGCGCTGGTACAGAGGATTGCGGTTCCCAGGTGTCGACGGGTGGTCATTATGAAACCCCGGAAAGATGATTCTGTCGCGTCGCTGATCTGTTAGATGCATTTTTGAGGGGGTGAGGGTGTCTAAGCGTGCTCGGTTTTTTACGTTGCCCACGGCGGTTTAATTCTCCCCTAATAGGGAACTGTACCCATTTGGTACAAGGGGACAAGGCCCGGATTGTCACAAGAAGACTTGTATCTTGGGTTTTAAATCTGTATGGTGTAAATTACGACTAACACAAAAGTTTCGAATAAGCATTTTTCTAAAATACTATTTGTTTATTTTTGGTGATAGCGCAACTAATATTATGCTCCCTGCATATATTTTTCTGCGTTTATTATTTTTATTTGGAACATGTCTCCCAAAATTGCAGAAAAAACTGATTTCAATTTTACAAAATATTGTGTTTAATAAACAAGAGGCCGCCAAATGTCTGCCAATCCAGTACAGTATGCAAGGAAGATTGATCTTTTGTTTCTGCTTTTGAGTTTGAAACCCCATCTCGCGAGGACAAATTAGATAGGAGGGCCACGTAACAAATTGTGTGATTTGAGTGATGCTACGACACTCCCCCCCCCCTTCCCCGCCTAAATGATTCTATACAACGAGCGACGGGACCGTCCTTCCATGGGATCCCGGTCCAGGTGAATCCCTGGAAACTGTAACCCGTAATCCGACATTTCTCATGTGTTCAAGCACCCAGTATATCTGGGAGTAGAACATCTTCGTCCTAACGGCTAATCAAGTATTTTGTGTTACCGGCTCTTAGACTAATAAAGTGTGACGTCTATGACAAAGTTTCGTTTCACGTAACGACAATATACCATGACAATATGACAAATGTTTCGTGGAGCGTGATGTCCCGGACTGATGTCCTCCTTTCTTCTAAATTTATCTCATCGCATCAAAAAAGGTCGCTACAATCTGTTTGGACATGGAAAACCTAACATCTAAATCAACGGTCCAATAGACAAGAAACAGGATTTTCCCTTCCGACGTCCCGATGCTATCTTTCGTTCTTATTGTCACAGTGAAACGCCTTTCCTTCTATACCTCGTGTATTTCGGAACATTTTTCCTGGAGAAATATTGTCTGTCGGACGCCAGGTAGACCTGCCGTTGCCCCTATCTGACATATAATTTTTCAAATATTCTCCGAATGTACCAAGTGCTATTTGCTATTATTTGACATTCGTAAGTTTTTTTGTAACAAGGAAATAGTCTCTCAACCATAAGGCACCCTTAGTATAAGTAATCCCAAGTGTTTAATAGACTTCGCGGTTATGCCCTCCTATATTCATTCTTGACCTGTCAAGTATCTTTTACAAATGGGTTTCGATGGTGAGAACTGAATAACCAGTGTCCAGCCCAAGACTCATTTTGTAGCTCTTTGCTACTCACTCTCGGTACTTATGCTGCGCTGAGGAGTGAACATCTCATCAGCATTGCCATGGAATTCGCTTTCTCTCTACTCCTCTCCCACATCTTGTACTTAAACCACCCCGAAGGCCTAAGGCACTGCAACATGACACATTCTGTCCCCGCCTCGGAGATCCGCCGGGTGGTACCTTCATGTTCGACAGTCACAGACCGTCTACCACCTACCTGTAATGCTAATTTTACATTTTTCGGGAAACATACTTCGTGGAAAGCTGTGAGAACTGGCGAATGGTGGTTCTGATACTGAGTTACTTAAAATCCCATTTTCGAGGGTGTTCAAAGAAATGAAGTCAATAGTTCTTCAGTAGAGAGTTCCTATAAACAAGTAACGATTACTTAACAGACAGTCTAGAATGTATTCACATAGTGATATATCAACGGACACTTGCTTCTCTGAACTATCCTTCACGATGCCAACCAGTGTAAAATGAGCGGAATTAATTAAAATGGTCAAAGATCCTTTAGATGTGAACAAACTTGAAAAATGTACCCTAAAGGTGCTATATAAATATAGGACACTCGTATACGAGGGATGTCTTTTAAGTTTTGCTTATGGAAATAAAACAACACGGTAGGTAGTTTTAAATGACTTTATTGTCTTTCGAAGTATTCTCCACGAAGATTAATACACTTCTGCATAAGCTCAAACCAATTTTCGAAGCACTTAAACCACTCGTTTGCTGGCAGATCCAAAACGACATTTCTGAATGCGTCAACTGCTAATTCTGGTGACTGGAACATTTGACCACGCAGTCTGTTTTTAATTTTCGGGAAAGTAAAGAAATCCTTAGGACTTAGAACGAGACTATATGGAGGATGCTCCATTAATTTCACGTTTTCTTCCGTTAAATACTGCCTTGTTTTTTCGGCTGTGTGCGAGCTTGCATTGTCTTGGTGGAGGATGATTCTTCTTTCGGGGTTGATTTTTCGAAGCTTGGTGATGACTTTTGGCGAACAAATGGTGGTATACCAATCCGCATTAACAGTTCTTTGCTCATTAACAGGAATTGTTGCAATATGACCCGCTTTTGACACAAATGTCGCGACCAGCTTTTTCGAAACACTTTGAAAACGGATGACTTTTGTTAGCTTTTCTTCACCTTGGAACACCCAAACAGCCGACTGTCGTTTATGTTCTGATTCATAGCAGTAAATCCACGATTCATCACCATTAACAATGCTGTACACATTTTTTTGAGTTTTTTGACACCAATTAGCCCTGGCTGCTTTCTGCCCTTCAGTCAACAGGTGGGGTATCCAACGAGAAAGTAATTTTCTTACTACTAATTCTTCATCTAAAATTTTTTGAATTGAGGTTTTTGGTGCACCCACCCTGAGATCGTCGCTAAGACTCACCCGTCTACGTTTAAATTCTCCATACCAACGGAAAATTGTCGACTGATGTGGCGCTTCGTTGCCGAAAACAGACAGTAACTCAGCAAGGCATTCTAGTTGCGATAATTGCCTCTGATAGTTGTAATAAATTATGGCGCAAAAATGTTCTAGGTTGAGTTCCATTTTTCTAATGATTTGGTCACACTTAAAAATTCACTGTAGTGAGAACACTACACGTATTGTTGTGAAACTTTGAATTTAAGTGTACTAAAGAGTGAGGTTAAGATTCAGTACTGACGTTCGATCCGCGCGGCCTACTATGTTTCTATATGCAAAACTTAAAAGACATCCCTCGTAAGATATAATCACAAACTTTCGTTTTTTTAAGTAGTTCGACAAAGAATTAGCTTGCAGACAAATTTCTGGATGTTATCAATTGAATATCAATAAATTCAGACTCATTAAAACCTGCATTGAATTCTCATGTGAAAGGATTTGCGATACCATTTTAAATATCACATTAAAAGTTCGGTTTGCAGTAATGAGATCTCAAAGAAACCGTCAAATATTCACGCGAGTTTGAAGAAAAAAAAGGCATACTTCACGTCGGTAGTTTTCTTGACGTTAAGGATTCATTATTTTCACAGGATCATTATCAAAGAATTTTCAGCTGTAAACATTTGTCAACTCTCCAGATCGATACATATTTCCTCAGAAATGTTCAAGAGGAAGCACCAATGGAGATGTGAAGAATATGTTTCTGTTTTCTCCATACTTATTAATAATGAACTGAAAAAAGCATTTGTCTCTACACGAAGATACAAAAATGCGTTTAACGTAAGTAATTGTCCGTTACTTCTAAAATTCATTTCATCTATTTATTCTTCATTCTCTTAATTGCATTTATCTACCTTATCTCACTTAAATATTACCCTTTAATGACAAAAAAAATGTCAAATAACAACAAAATTCAAAGTTTGCCGCCACATTTCCAGCCTGTTAGACGAAATCGTTAGGCTTTTAGTTTGCATGGAAACGCATTCTCATCATCACGAAGCTGTGTATTCAGCTTCTTTGTAATAGCTTTGATAGCTTGACGTTAAAAAGACACACCATGTCTTACTGGCCCTCAAATAAAACAAAAATGTCGAATTGAAGAATGTTATTGCTATTTTTATATTTGTTCTTTGGAAAAGGCTACAGGGGTAACCGAAACATGAGCTGATTTTCAATTCTACATCTGGTTTCATTTGATGGCCAATGAAAGATGGAGAGTCATTCATAGGCTCTAACTTGGAGAGTCCTTCTTTATACAGGGTGGCCGATATGTAATTGATTGGTTTGTATCTTGAATATTTGTGAAATGAAATAAAATACGCCCATTTTTTCATCTTTTTACTTTTATAAGAGAAACCCCGCAATACAGCCAATGTTTCCACTTCAAAGTTTGATCAAAACTCCCTCTTACCTACGTCAAGATGCATCTAATATTTCACTTAAATGAAACCATTTCTACTTTACTCTTCTTCTCTTTCTCGCGGAGTATAATAGTGATAAATGAGGATAAATCGGTCTTCTTTCTAGAAATATTCCAAATTTGTGTGTATTGTGGAAATTTCCTAGCAATTCCCCATCCCAACAGTCGGGTCGGAATGGCTTTTTCTCGCTCAAAGGACCTGTATCAACGTTGGAGTGCGAGTATCGAAAAAAATGTGACTGTGATAGATTGACCGTTTCCGATGGAAGGCCGAAATCCCATTTCAAGCAACTTGCTATCCATAACATCCCAAGCTGGAAAGTTTCAGGTGAGAGCGACAATTTATCCAGCTGTCTTTTATACCTGTATCGCTTTGTACAGCATTCAATCCTAATGCTACAACCAGGTCAGTATTTTCAATAAAACCTTTTCTTAGACTTAATAGTACCATAAAAATTGGGATAAACATGTTAAGGACTTAGTAAGGGAACACTATTCTTCTAAGTTATAAGGTACTATCAGATAAAAGCCTGACAAACATTGTGTACGTTGAGTAATTGTTAGGATAGCAATAAAAACAAGTTTATTGTGTCGTTCAGAGCTATTTTCCTCAAAGGACATAAGTCGATATTAATTAATAATGGGTGATTTTTTTGCTAGTATCTTTTTGGCAACACTGTTTTTGACAGATGACGCGTGAATCGTGTCTTGTGTCATTGTCAAACTTGTTACGTTTGGTCTATAATTTAACCATGAATCGACTTACGAACGAACAACGCTTGCAAATTATTGAATTCTTGCTCGGTTAAGAGAGTGCATCGAGCACTGCTTCCAATTTATGGGCAATTTGATCGGCCTACTGAGGGAGCTATTCGGAAGCTTGTGACTAAATTTCGAATCCAGTTTACATTACTGGATATTAAACCACCAACACGCAGACGTAGAGTGAGGACTGAAGAAAACATTGCGGCTGTATCCGCCAGTGTTAGTGATGACCGTGAAAAGTCGATTCGCCGCCGTTCGCAGCAATTTTATCGTAAAATTGTGTTCAGCGACGAAGCTCATTTCTGGTTGAATGGGTACGTTAACAAGCAAAATTGCCGCAACTGGAGTGAAGACCAGCCAGAAGCATTGCAAGAGCTATCAATGCATCCCGAAAAAATCACTGTTTGGTGTGGATTATGGGCCGGTGGCATCATCGGGCCGTACTTCTTCAAAGACGACAATGGCCGGACGTAACTGTGAATAGCGAGCGCTACCGTGCGATGATAAAAAACTTTTTTTTGCCCAAAATGGAAGAGCTGGACTTCCGACATGTGGTTTCAACAAGACGGTGCCACATGCCACACCGCACACGAAACAATGGCCCTATTGAGAGGCGAGTTCGGTGAACAGTTTATCTCACGTTTGGGGCCCGTCAATTGGCCGCCTAGATCGTGTGATTTAACGCCGTTGGACTATTTCTTGTGGGACCATGTTAAGGCTAATGTCTACAGGGATAAATCAGCCACGATTGACGTACTGGAATCCAATATTGAAGCATTTATTCGTGTGATACCGGCCGATATGTTGGAGAGAGTGTGGCAAAATTGGAACTTGCGCATGGGTCATCCAAAGCGGAGCCGCGGCCAACATTTACATGAAATAATCTTTAAACATTAAATTATATCGACCGTTCTATCGACTCAAATAAAGATTTAATGGTTTTTTAAAATATTTTGTTTTTTTGAAAATCAAATCATATACCTCTTAAAAAATCACCCGTTATAATATATAACTAGTACAAGAGATAACATTTATTTTGTAAACCTGCTGATAGTATTTTTAAGATTTGGCCATACCAGGCAAAATTTATCTCTTCAGTTCTTAGAAAAGTTTTAGTCAGTCTTACATCCCCACGATTTGTTTTTTCATGCGGGCACCGGTGGTAATTGGTAGGACAGTTGTCAAATAGTGTCATCAAGGACTACCGTATCTGCATGTATGGCATCTATGACCAAATACCTTATTGAATGTATCCTACGAAAGAATTAATATAACATTTGAAATTTATCATGTGGTTGTCTCGCTGACTAATCTTCATTTTAACCTGGCCGTCGAAGAAAATCGCAGATGTCGCTTGAAGAACTTATTAATACTTCGGGCACCTTTGTGACCTACTGTCGAAGTACAATTACTTATAGTTGTCAGTTTTAGGCGACAATTGGCTATACAACTAGTAATGATTTTTTTTTATGCTTCAACTACCACGAAGGCCTAAGGCCTAAACACCCATTGGGTACCGTGGGGCTATAGGGGGATACAGGGGAAAGGGGGAACGCCACTCGGACTCTGGCGAGGGAACACGTGTGCA